TCTTTATTTAATTAAATGCAGGCACCATATACAAGGTTACCCATCAATTCGCATTTTTCATAAAGGGAGTGATATGAAGTAAGCACAGTAAACCTTACATTATATCACACTGAAACTGTAAACCTCATTCTGCCAATGCTTCCCGTTAATTTTGCCCTCAAGGTCAGTAAATAACCAAATCAACTTCTGTACAGGGAGAATCAGGGTCACCATGATCATGACTCATACTATGGGGAACGTGATACCGAAAGTTTAGTCGCGGTATGTTATGAATCACATGGTTTCCAATTGTTGTTCTTATGTCAGTACGATTGTATCACATTGGTTATCTTTACTGCCGCACAATATCCTAAACCTTAGCCTACCCGAGAAATTGTAATGAACTTCTTGAGGGTGAACTAAAGGCTAATTCTTTGCTTGTTAATATATGGTATTTATGGTCTCATAGGCTGTTCTGTACTGGATTCTTGATATAAGTTTTGAATCTTAGGCAATGGAAACATATGTTGCAAATATTCCAAAAGAGGCCCATGTGCTTGCTTTGGAAGACAAGTCCAACAAGACTGTTGATCCTGCAAAGCGTCCTGCTCCAATGACCGGTGGCTGCAGAATAGAAGGTTTTGTGCGGGTCAAAAAGGTAAATGAACTTCTGAGCTAACATTCATACTGCTAGCTTCTGTAGTGTTGGCGAGGTAAGCGCCTGTAGTACTAATACTTGCTGCATGGAGAAAGGATTCTTTTTTGGGATGTTTGATTACTTTCTTCTCTTCACCAGGTTCCTGGCAGTGTTGTAATATCAGCTCGATCTGGTTCACACTCGTTTGATCCATCTCAGATAAATGTTTCCCACTACGTCACAACATTCTCATTTGGCAAAAGGCTCTCATCAAAGATGTTCAATGAACTGAAAAGACTATTTCCCTATGTTGGCGGACACCATGATAGATTAGCTGGTCAGTCTTACATCGTTAAGCATGGTGATGTCAATGCAAATGTTACTGTAAGTCCCTAAAATTTGCCTACTTCTCTTTTGAAGTTTGCAATGCATGTAAGTTTTTTTCCATTGTTTATTAGGAAATAACATGGCATTTGTTTAAACTATGTCATTCTAGATTGAGCATTACCTACAAATTGTAAAGACTGAGCTGGTTACGCTGAGATACGCAAAGGAGTTGAAAGTGCTTGAAGAATATGAATACACAGCACACAGCAGCTTGGTGCACAGCTTCTATGTCCCTGTTGTGAAATTCCATTTTGAGCCTTCTCCCATGCAGGTAGGTATCTAGGTATTTTATATACTTGTTACTCGGTTTACTAACATATCGAACAGTCCATCTAAACTGATTCTCATTTATCATCAGGTCCTGGTGACTGAACTTCCAAAATCGTTCTCCCACTTCATCACAAACGTCTGTGCTATTATTGGTGGAGTTTTCACGGTGGGAACATCTCCTTGTTTATATTTTCATACTTCCTAGAGCATCGAGTATACATGGCTGATGTTTGAACCTGTGAATTCTAGGTGGCCGGCATACTTGACTCCATCTTGCACAACACGCTAAGGTTGGTGAAGAAGGTTGAGCTAGGGAAGGACATTTGAACGATAGTAGATCCTCAGAAGCGCTCGATTCCTTGCGGTTGCCCTAGTTAGTAATTATTTTTGTACTGTTAGCAATTCTTAATCTATTAATTAACATATACAGCGGGACGGGGTTGGTTTGAATGATGTGGTCATGATATAACTGGGTACTTCACTGTTCCGCTAAGTAAATGGGAATAAAGAGACGCTGGATCCTTATAGCTTTATCCTGATCTTGTGACCAGTCCAATTCCAATTTCAGCTCTAGAAAACTTAAAATATCGCTGTAATGTGCTGGCGTTGCATGTGATTTTCTTGTACTCGTTCGGATGTCTGAAATTCTCTGTATCGGTACCAGTCTCTAGTTATTCACTGCATGGCCGGAACTTGAAAAATGTTCCAATATGGTCCTCGAATACGAAAACACATAACACGTATGGTCCTGCATACAGCACTGTACTCTGTCGCTGTGGTGTTGACATGTACATCCTCGCCTGTTTGATGCACTCCCCTTCGTTTTTTTTAAATCCCGTCGCACCCTAAGGGCTCATTTGGTAACCGCGGATCCCCCAGGGATCCTGGCCCATTCCCTGGGTGGGAAGCACGCGCGGAAGATATGACCCGGGCCAATATTTCTGGACATTTGGACGCTCGGAGCCAGAGTTTTTTTCGGCCCGAGCCGCATGATTTCCCCGGGATAGCGCCCCCGCCTCGCGACATCGGGAGAGAATCCCCCGTCTCGCTCGCTCGCGGCGCCTGTCTCTGACCTGCTGATGCGAGGTCGCCGCCTCCCTACATTGCCATACCTCTCCTTTCCTCCTCAATCTCCACCTGCACCATGTACTCACACCTCCGCCTCCATCCTCACCGGCGGCCGCCGCTGCAAACGTACCTACCAGTAGGTGGAGTTCTCTCCTGCCCACAAGCTGCCGACGATGATGACTGGTGGTGCCGTGGTGGTGATGGCCATGAAGACGGGGATGCAGGTCCAAAGGGGGCTCACCGAGAACAAGATCTGGAAAAGAGTTTGGGGATGCGTTCCTCTGATTTGCCACTACTATTCCCATCTTCCCCAAAGGGTCATGTGAATTTTCCACGGGATTTTAGTTTTGCCAGGAGTAATCAACCCTGGCCGCCCTTTCCCTGGAAATATGCACCCTCGCAACCAAATAAGGCCTTCGTCTTCCTGTTTGGCGGTTTGAAGAGGCCGAATCATTTTGGAGGCAGCAATATCCTGAAATTCCCAGGCAGATCCGACCATGTGCTCCCCGCGCGCGCGTGGGGAGTGAATTCGTTGGAGGCAGGGTATCATGGTCGCATGTTGCTGGTGACCATCGTCGGAGACCGCACCGATGAGCTGCCGCCCTGCTCGACGTCCTAGAGGAAATTACTTGTCAGGCCGTCGCATGAGGTGGCCACCCTACCGCATGATTTGTGGCTCACCTTCACCGACGGTGCGTTGTGCACACGCGCCATGGAGTCATTGATGCAAGTGTGGTCACTGGCTTGTGGATCCAGTTCTGCCGTTGGTACCATGCAGGCTCGACTACAAGACCAAGGTGAGCTTGGAAGGGCTACCCAACGAGGCGAGGGAGCCGGAGGCAGCCAACGGCGTCCTCAGCTAGCTCGCCAGCGAGCTTATCTACATCATGTCGTCAGAGGACAAGCGTGAGTTGGTGATGGAGGCGTGGCTCCACGATCCGTCTAAAGTCCCCAAGGTTCCGAAATTGGAGGTCCTCGAGCCTAAGGTGCCGAGCTGCCGTCCTCCAATGATAAGTGTGAGTCACTACCCACTCCAGCGTCATCGACATCGAGGACCCACCCTCCTACACAACACACAGTCATCGTCCCGCCAATGTCCGGAAATTTGCCGGACGCATACCTCCCTTCTGAAGGCAAGTGTCATAGCTGGGAGTACGAGTTTGTGTGTTGGTGCAGGAGGGTCGACTACAACGGACCTGGAGGTGACGCTGGCTGCTCAGCAGGCTGAAGAAGTGCTGTGTTCCATTTGTGTGTTGTTTAAGTCCAGTTTAAATTTAGTTGCATTGTGTGTGTGTGCTGTGAACTGCTTTAAATTCAATTTTAAGTGTGTGTGCCTTGTTTGTGACCCAAAGGAGTGGTCTTTTGCAGTGAACAATGTTGTGATGTGTGATTTGAAGAACTGAAATCAGTAACTAAATTTGATCTTAACTAGAATGAATGTTTTTTTCCCGTCAGTTAACTGAATGTTCGGTTCACATATACTATGTATCGACAAATGTACAGTTAACAAGTTGAACACAACAAAGATGACATACAATTTGGCTATACAACAACGAAATCAAGCATGCTTCTATCATACATCAACAAGATCAAATATAATATGTTTTGCTCATACATCAACAACAACAAAGTTCTACTACGTGATCATCAACATAACTTGATCATGCACTTTTTATAACAACTCCATGTTCATGACCATACAGAAGATTACTCTAGCATGCACTACACTTGTTCACAAGATACATCACTATACCAATAGAATACAAAAAGACTAGGTAGCGAACTATTTGAAAATACCAAACATGGATTGTTCGGTGTTTTTTAGACCTTTCATGTGATCGCCAAAATATCTTTTTTGTGGCACGTTTGGCTGCTGCCTGGATGAACTTTAACTCTCTGGCATATTCCCTCTTGGTACCTTTTGCTCATTATGTTTCTTTAAAATTTACTCTGCCTCCTGTTTGTATTTTTCTTCCATGAACTTTTTCTTCGTCCATTCATCAGCTCGTCTATTCTTTAGTTCCTATGCTTATCTATTCTACAGTTCCTGAGGTTGCCTCCTTTTCTTTTCCTCAGCTTGCTGCATGTTCAGTTCCTCAACTTGTTTCTTTTATCCTTCCATTATTGATGCCTTGTTGTGCTGCTCGTATGCTCTTCGGCTTGCTCCTCCCATGCATGTTGTCTGGCTAGATCCTCCATTTGCACATAGTGGTTAAATCCTCTCTGCCTTTCTTCCTCCTCCTGCTGATATATCAAAAATTTAGCTTCTTTTGTTATATTTAATACTTCTCTTGCCTCTTCTTCTCTTCGGTTTGTCTTTTTATTTATGCAACAATAATTTTCTTCTACTCCTCTTGTTCTTTCTTCCTCGCTGACAAAGCATGCCTCTTGGCTTCACAAGGGCAGGCTTGGCCTCATGTGTCTCCTTCCTTCTCTCCTCAGCATAAGTATGATACCAAGCCATCCATCACACCACTTAGCTCCTACCCTTGTGCTATCATTTTTTTGGAAAGGTAATTCCCAGTCTCTCCTTCAACTATACTTTCTAACAACCTTTTTGAACAAATCAACTAAGGAGAAAAGCTGCCCAACATGAAACTGACGCTTTTAGTGATTAGAGAAATGAGGGAAGTTGAACTTCATCTACTCATCATCTGATTCAGAGCAGTCACATATATAATTCTTCATCAAAATTTTGATCTTCTACCATTTGCTTCCTTTTCCCTATCATTCCACCTTGATTTCTTATCACCAATCAAATCTTCCCACACAAAGTTTTCATCTCCATCCTCCATGTCATACTCACAGTCAACCAAATCTTCTTTTTTTTCGATAAAGGGCATTTTATTAACTCAAAAATGTAGCATCAAGCGGATACAAAGCATTATGAGTGAGACCCGACCTCTGCATAACTAAGATGCACACAACCAATTCTAAAAAGTTTGACAGAAAGAAAAGAATCAAAATCGACAAAACGGCAACAGTAGAGTCGTATAGACCGACACTATATATGCCTATGTCGAAAGTGGTGGTGGGTCAATCCGGAGGTTATGCTGCCACCCATGTTGAGAAAAAACCTCCGTAGCCACCTGCTCCAATCGCGTACACACCGCCTTGAACAGCGGTTGGTACTCCGCTCGCTGTAGTATAGACCACGTACGAAGCGAGTGCGTACACCGGAAAATAACCTGTAGAGGAGAAGCATTTTTGTCATTAAAAACCAAATCATTTCTACATAGCCATAGCGACCACATTAAGGCATACACTCCCACCCTTATTAGCGTTTTGAATCTATTTGGAATACCGTCCAACCAATGACCAAAAATATTGGCAACACTTGTGGGCGGATATAAATTTGACGCTATTTGGATGACTGACCACGTAGAACGTGCAAACTTGCATTGAAAAAGAGGTGTTTGATTGTCTCGTCATGAGTACAAAAACAACACTTCTTATTCCCTTGCCAGTTGCGCCGTGCGAGGTTGTCTTTGGTTAGCACAACCCCCTACAAAGATACCACATGAAGATTTTGACCTTTAGTGGAATCTTCGACTTCCATAGTTTCTTATTATTATTCACCGGTACCTCAGAATGCGTGAGTGCACGGTTCATGGAGTCTACTGTGAAAGACCCCGTTGTAGTAAGGTTCCAGCGAAACACATCTCGGTCTTGTGTCAGGTTAATCGAATCCAGCTTGGACAATAGATTATGCCATGATGTAAGGCGAGGCCCAATCAAATCTCGCCTGAACGAAATATTCGGCGGGGATGAACTGAGCACCTGCGCAATAGTATTCTTCTTCTCGCGAGCAATGATGTACAAGGCTGGATATTGTTCTCGAAGATTGGCATTGCCTAGCCAGATGTCTTTCCAGAAACGAATCTCTGACCCGTCCTTTATCGCGAAAGACCCAAAGCGAAAAAGATGTTTCTTTGCCGCCATTAGGCCAACCCAAAAGTGAGAGTCTCCAGGTTTCCAATATGCCTGAGACACCGCCTTTTGGCCTAAATACTTGTTGCGTAGCATGGTTTGCCAAACACCATCCTCAGTAAGTAGTTTGAACAACCATTTACTAAGTAGGGCCTCATTCTTGACCTGTAGGTCATGAATTCCAAGGCCACCTTGGTCTTTTGGTCTACGAACCACACTCCATTTGGCCATTTTGTATTTTTTCTTTTCCCCGTCTCCTTGCCAAAAGAATCTGGATCTAAAATAGTCTAATCTTTGCAAGACCCCTTTTGGTAGTTGGAAGAAAGAAA